TATTATTTTACTTATTGTTTATTCCATATCGAGTTTGATATTTTAAAACAATATGCATTAAAATTATTTAGATATGTACCTATATACATTTTTTTTTTTTTTTTTTTTGCATTAAAATTATTTAGATATGTACCTATATACATATTTTTTTTTTTTTATTAAGAACTTTCAGTATAATTATTATAGTTCAACAATTACAATATTGATAGAAAACCTATATGTATACATAATTATACATAATATAGCGTTGAAATAAAAGTAATTTCATATCTATACCTTTCTAGTTTCTGCGGTGTCGAGTAGTATACAAGGCTTTTAATTATATCCATAAACTCCATAACCTCTTTACCAAAACAATGTCGAACAACGGAACACATTATATTTTATAACCTATACCTACACAAACAAGATAGATATTTAGTATAATTGCAACATGTATTTATTAAGAAATACATATTTATTTAGTCACTGCAGCAAGATACCGATGTCCAACACAATATGAGTTTTTTTTTTATTGATCCAGAGCCCGGCGGCTAAGGCCATTAGCTATACATAGGCCATTGGGTGTGGGGTGGTACGGTAAGGGGTATTATTGTGCATTAACATTGATCTTTTTAAGTGGGTTAGRTGGCAAGGTGTGGCAAGGATATGTTGCTAAAAATACCGAGTGGTCACCCATCCGGGAGCTAGCAACTGCGGCTGGTACGTACACTCAGTGCGTTTCCGCAGATTGAATGTACGACCGCGCCTCGCCAAGCCACTAATATGAGTTTGTTTATAAATATTAACATGAAATTATAACCTACACCAATGTATACGTCATACCTAATGTATTTTTCTCAGTTAAAAATCAACTAAATATTCCGTAGTCTTAAATTAGTAAGTTCACATAGAGTAGTTGTGAATTGTGATATATTTCGTACATTTAACATTAATACTAAAGTATAGCTACTTACTATCTCCCATATTATGTGGTACATTTCGAGAATATTAACTCTAGTTGAATAGAAAACAGCATAAGCYACAATGAACGCGTTAATAAAAATTAACAATTAGTAACTACTTATATATCATATAAATGTTCATCCATTTAAAATGAATATATAAAAATTAACATAAATCGTAGGTAGTTATAATAAAATAAATAAATATTTTTTAATCTTATTTTCTTCAATAACAAATTATATATACACACTACACAGGTTATAATGTACAATAATATGTAAATATTGCAAATATAATGTACCTATTTATAATTTATACAAACAACGAAGTACTCAATTATACCTAATATTCGTATAAATTGTTTTTTTTTCTCGAATACCGTATGCCAAACACTACAACAAAAATGTATCATTTTAATGACAATAACTAACAACTTATTAGTAATAAGTAATGCATAGGATTTTACATCCATTTTTTATACTCAAAGGTCGATAAAATAAAGATTAGTTGTCTACCCATGTTGATATTTAATTTACACGTACCGTTGAGTTTAGAATACTGAGCGCGTTGTTTTAACTAATAATTATAATTCACGAATATGAATTTATATTAAAGAATAAAAACATTTTATTCCTTATAAATAATAATTTAAATACCTACAAAAACAGTGAGTATATATGTATTATCAATACAAAAACATTTTTTTTAATTATGTGTATATTTTAGTGCGGTATGATTTTAGTTGTAATTAATTATTTATGAAGTTTCATTCATATTTTTGTTCAGTTTTTTTTATTAGCTCGTTCGTTTGTTCCTTGTAAAAAAAAAACCCCCTAAAAAAATATGATATTAATACAAATCTTAAAATTAATATTTAATTTGTAATGATAAAAACTTTTGGGTATATTTTTAAGCGCATATTTTCTGTGTTAAATCTTGCAATCATAACGAGTGGGTAAGTGCCGCATAAACTTTGCTTATTTTAAGACTTAAATGAGAAGTTCCTTAATAATTTGCTATACGAGAAATTTAAAATTTAAAATTGATAGTATGCCTAGTTTTAAAATTTTATTTTGCATATAATTTATCATTTTATCAATATTTTTTCGTGGACTTCCAAATTAATGTTGAATTTAAAATTATTTAAAATGTTGATCATAATATTAATATGGTTCTTGACTTTTCCCAGACRCGTGTTTTTCTTAGAAACACGTCTAGAGAGTTTTTAATTAGATTGATTGTCGGGTTATTGGTGTAAATAGTTATACCTACGAAGTATCTGAAAACAGCGAAAACCCATAAAATAAACCCAAAAGCTGCACTTAAAATTTAAATAAAATGTATTCATTAAAATAATAGGTACCTACAGAAAAATTCTTTTATTCTTTTTTTCAAAAATATTCATTTTAAAATAAATATTTTGTTTATTTTAGGGCATATTTGAAGATTATTTTATAGAGTTGCATAAGAGTCCTCTGCCCAAATAATAATATTATAAACGTATATAATATATATTTTCGAGTGGCATTAATTAATTTTGTAGGTGTACCTCCAAAATCGTTGAACTATTATTATTAAAGTATATGACAATAATAATATATTATATACCATATTATGGCACATACGAACGTGTATCAGAAACTGAGCAATATTTTTGGGCCAACTGCTATAGCGTGCACATAACACTTTTAAACTCGTAATAAGTATATATCATACATTATATTAGGTAGTATTTTTCCGCTAGTCGTTTCATACCAGCAATAGTAATTCGACAAAACCCTGCCTTGCGCGTGTGCATTATTATTTGTACGATATGTTAGACACTATAGTGAACGCAGTGGAACGTCCCGAGTATTTGCAAGGCCTTTAAATAAAATATTTATATAGATCATTATACTTGCACACGACTTTATCCGTACAATTTAGACAAAACGCAAAAATCCATGGCAATACATCATACAGTTCAACACCATACCAATTCAGCATTTACCAGCCAAAGTATAATGACCGGCACAACAATATATATCATATACAGATTATAAGTAATAAGTTTATACATCCAAAATAAAGTCATTATTAAACATGCTCGACACATGTCGACAAATTTGTTCATGATTGTACACGTCGTCAACTATCGCTATAATCATCTGCCTTTGCGACGTATAACGACCACATCATATGACGCGTATGCTCTGTAGACTCAGTGACTCAGTAGACTCATTTAATTTTAATATATAAAATAAATATCTAACAAGTGAAGTTAACATAAAAATTACTATATTATATTGTACGCTGAATACAGGCAAACCTATTTAACGCTTTTAATATTAAGTGGAACATTTGTTAGTGTCCATAAAAAAAAAAAAATACCTTTTATACATTGTCATTTGTCATAATGCTAAAACTTATCGATTACGATTTATAAAAATAATAAAGTATAGTCTTCTTAACAAATTCGTTGGTATAAACGAGTATTATAGGACTTCTCAAGTGGCGTGGAAGTCCTAAAAATCTAGCAGGGCGAAAAATATTTCAAGAAGCCAATATTTTAAATCGTCAAAAATGGCCAACCACGGAGAGGAAATTGGTCAATATGAAGCGGCCCTATCCTAAATTTTCAAAATATGTCGGGCMATGGCACCACTGGGACTTCTCAAGCTCGCCGGACTAAAGTTCCGAAACGTGGAATACTACGTTGTCTAAACATCGTTTCCGCCGACGGACAATCAAGTATAATGCTCGCCTTTAACGTCCTTCATCGTCCTTAAAACGTACACACACGCACAAATAATATCAATCGCTTAATTACCCAGTCAACGTCGTAGTATTGTATATCTATGCGGTTATTTGAACCATTATTAAAAACGCACGATTCAGCCGCGCGGATATCTCTTCTTCCTCATCAATTCGAGACTTTCGTTATCCTATTTTCACACCACATGACGTCATAAATTATATGCTGATGGTAAAGTGCACAAGTGTACAGCAAAGGCAAAGTATGGCGCAGGGATGGATCAATAGGTAGGAAATAAAATTGGGACAAGACAATAGAACGAGCGAAGTCTTTTGAATGTTATATAATAGTTTTGAAAAGTGATAAACCACCGCGGCTTATATCACACACATATAGTTGATTAAATCCTGTGAAATATTGTTACCTGCCTGCAGTGTAGATTTTAATAATATGTTATAGAAACGTTTATTACTTATTRGTTATTAGTACGACGTACGCGGCTTTTTAGAGGTTAACTACAACGAATCTGCAGAGTGGTGTGTTTGAGACGATGTCTAAAAGATCGCTATAAGGGGCTTTGGCCAATCCGCCCCTAAAACCTGCGCTCGACGGCGAAATACAGACGTATATGAGTAAACATCATTAAACAAAGTGACGATTTTTCTTCGCCGTTGTGGATGTCTCTGTCGAAAAAAAAAATTATAATACCTACACCTAACAATAACTATACGATAATAAGTAGGGCTAGGATTTGTATATGCAACAGCATGTTTTTTTGCGACCTCTGATTGTTGATTTTGTCAGTAATGTTCACCTCATGATTAGATAAATGGTAGTGTTTTTATTTCGCATGTTTTTGCATATTTTGGATAAAATACATATTAATGCATATATTGAATAAAATTAATATTATTGCATATTTCCATTATAAGAACACGAAAATACATGTTTTATAGTATATTTCGTGATTGATATTTATAATTTAATATTAATATTTCGCATTTAATTCTAGCTCAGCTGATTAAAATATTAAACTTGGTTTTTTTGTCAAACACAAATTTTATTCTTATAAATACAATCCTATGGYACAGTATAAAATCTAAGACAGAAATTAAAATGCATATTTTACAATTTTTTATTGCATACAAATCCTAGCCCTGGTAATAAGTAACGACATGACGTTGTTATAGCTGCAGCTGATTAGATGTACTGCAAGTATACAGAGTGCACGCTTTAATATTAATACATATAACACACACACACACACATGTACGCAGTTAAATGTATATAATATAATATATATATAATCAAAACGAGACGATTGTGAACGTGTTTGAGGTGACCATTGTCGTTTATTTATTAGGTACACATTATTATTATATTGAATTCCACGTATAGCGGCCAATTAGATGATTGATGTCAATTGGCGGTGGCCGTTGATCCCCACGGGCGGACACCCCTCCACACCCCTCGCAGCGATAATAGACTCACCCGTTCGGCTTGCATGCCACGTGGGGTCATCATTATTTATCACTTGTGTCACGCGCTGTACAGCTTGAACTTCCGCACGTACTTCATCACCGTGCCCTTGGCGCAAGGTTTGAGCGCCACGCACGTGGCCACGTCCTCTGGCTGTTCCTTCCACACGACGTGTTGCACTCCGTCTGCGCTGAGCGCCGCGGCCGTGCTCAACAGGGCGGGCTCGTCGGGTACCTGCGATAATGGGCGACGGATGATTATTAAAATATAATATAATATATAATATATAGGTATATGTATCATACGAATGCAATAGTTAAGTAATATCTGAATATTCTAAATTGATGCAATAATCAATATAGTATTAAAATATATAAGACATAATATAAGTTACAAATAGGGTTTGAACTTTGATGTTTAGCGTGTTATTTTTCTGCTTTTTTGCGATAACCACATTTGGAATTGCTAGGCAAGCTATATATTTTTAACGAACATCAAAAAGTTTTAATGTGAGTAGCTTAATTTTTCAGGGCGTTCCCATGTAAATTTTCTATAGTGCGTATTCGATAATTTTAGAGCACATATGAATATATAATATGATGCTATTTGGTTATATGCAGATTAAAAACTTGTATAACTTGAAATATATAGACATTGAATAGAGATTTTTCAATTTGTTACGGTTTATTGCCATATTTATCTGATATACAAATATTGTTTGTTTTGATTTTAATCACATTTAAAATTTTCTATTTTCAGTATTTAAAAATAATTTAATATTATACAGAGTGATCCATTTAAGTAGGTAGGTACACTAACTATCTAGAAAAATATTGACTTTTTTAAACTTTTAGGTTTATGTTTCCCAAAAACCGTATAATATTTTAATTTTTTTTTCACCCTTATATATTATATTGGTGAAACCACTATCAACTTTTGATTTTCAAATGGTAACAAAATAAGTCCAATTGATTCAATTAATCGATAAGTGAATAAATGATTAGAGTACAATAATAATCTTTAATTAATTATTATTTATTATGTTACCTTGAATTCAGCGATATCGAATTTATCACTAGCTCCTGGTCTTTACAATTACTAAAAAAAAATAGTAAAAACCACCAATACTTTGAAAAATAAAAATGTTAACACGTAAATTCATGAAAAATCGGTTTATTAATTCATGATATTTTAATTATATGTTACAATTTGAAAATCAAAAGTTGATAGTGGTTTTACCAATAAACATAAAGGTGAAAAAAATTTAAATATTATAGGTATATTTTTAGAAAAATATAGGTAAACCTTTAAGAGTTTAAAAAAAAAATTCAAAAAAAGTTAATACTTTTCGAGATAATTGTTGTAACCATATATGACAAATTTTTACATTCATTAGACCAAGTTATTTCAACTGGTGGTCTCTGTTACATTTTGTATTTAAAAATTCCAAAAATCAAATTTTAAATAAAATAGAATACTTGGGGAATCGTCCTTCATAATCTGACCTATGTTATGTCTATGAATTCTACGCATTTTATATTAAACCAAGAAGTATAAGCGTATTATTTGAACAGAACATCCAAAAAAACGATCACATATAGGCAATTTTTTTATTTATATTTTACAAATACCTACGTAACAACATATATTATCTATTATACAGCCACAACTTGAATAATACACGCACAACTCAAATGCTATTTTATTGCCATAAAGAAAAACTTAATTGAAACCACGGCCCTAAAATACGCTTAAGAACTAAAATACGCTACGATAACGACAACATGAATACAGAAGTGATAGGCCTAGGGTATAATTCCCCCGGAGGCGAAAGAACAAAGGAAAATGTAATTTAGGGTTACTGCACACATATGAAACATAAGAGAATCCGTGTTTGGCCTACGGCTAAAAAAACAATATGATGGTATCTGAGAAGTATAAGCCGAAGAACAAGGAAACAAAGTTATCTTGTACCAAGCGGGTCCGGGATAAAAGTGAATCCGTTTTCATCACTATTGGCTATACTCAACCACACAACAAAAGGATATTACGTATATGATAATAAAACCGAAGGATGCCGTTTGAGTAGAAAATATGCGTAGGAACCTAAAATATTGAAAAACGTATTATTTAATTTAAAAAAAAAAAAACGATACAAATTAAAATAATATTGAGTCATAGCCCTAATAATATTTCGAGCTATACAAATTATACCATACTATGACGATTGACGTTAAACAATAATATTAGCGTGTGTTATCGATTTCAATGTCGTTGTATCGTTATTATTATATAGACAAAAATCATAACTCATGTATAAGAAACTAATGCGAGTCATTGTCAATTAAAAATATAATATAGATGATTTAAGAGTATACTATAAATTGGGACAACATTTCCATTAAATTAATACGCGTGTAATTTATTGTCACAGTTATATAATTACAATAATATATTGGCGATTGTGGAAGGAGCATTTTATTATAATGTATAATTATAGTCATTATAATTGACATTTTTTACAACCACAGACCATCAAAAAACGATCCGAGCCGAACTGCCAAAAAAATGGACTTGGGTGCCTTGTGCGCACGGGGTAATCAGGGCAGGCACTTGACTACCCTGCGAACTTTCCCCCCTTGATATTCAATATAATCATAATATCTAAGAAATAATCTTAGTAGGTATACGTTCAAAGTACATTTTTACAGCTTGGCGGCGAATAAGAATAAATGTATTATATAATATACGTATGTGTGTGTTAATATGACTACTTTGTCGGTAATGTGTGGGCACGCTTATGGAGGGGTATGTTTGCATTTCTTCGACAATCGACGTACCTAGTCGCCGTTTTTTACATAATATGTCTAGAAAAATACACAGAAGAATAATACATCTCCAAAAAGCACAACGCGTTTTCGACTACCGTTGAATGCTATTATTGTTAAACGGCCAGAAAACAATCTCCGCAGGCCATTTCGGGTGACTAAGAAATAGCACACATAATAAATATCACACTATATTATAGACACGTGCCGTAACACACGGAAGTAATACAGTAATGACGCACATGGCTGCTGTGCCGTTCTTGCCAGCGTATCATTATTTCAATTAAAACCGTTAAGTGATGACGGGACGTTTCATATTAAAAGGCGCCGATAGAGGCAGATCGATATAGACGATGAATGGCGACGACAGATGACATAATTATTGTTCGTCGAAATTCAAATCACGCATATCACCACTATATATATATGGTATACATATCGTGCAACACGTCACAATTGTAAAGTTCGATAAATCTCGATCTACATATAATATAATATTATAATTTGTCATATGCATACACGACAACTCGACGAGCGTAAACAAATACAATTATTGTGTCGCGACAGTTGAATAACGATAAATCGCTCATATAATACTGATGTCAACATTCCATAAAAATAAGTCTATAACCACATTTTCAAAACAAAAGAAGCATAGCAGAACAATAGAATACCACTTATACAAAAAAATTAAGAATTATGAAATTTTTCGTTAAAAAATGGGATTTCTAAAAGAAAAGATGAATCACCAGAATGAATATACACAGAATGGCACTAACGGTCCTACGAATTTAAATCACTCCTTCCTCATCACTATTAAAGAACCAATATCAATATGCGACACAGGAAAACCTTACGACCAATCGCACTGTGCTCAATGCTCAAAATACACCTAAGCACGAAAAATCTTTATAAGCCCAGCCTCGCTCAGACACGTACATAACTAAGACAACACGGAAGCATAACGTTTATGTTTTCATAATATACGCACTATAGCCAAAAATTATAAATAACACTATTTTGTTTTACTTATAACCTGTATCTAATCTAAAAAGTAAAATTAGGCTAATAACCATCGTTATTCATTATTGAAGCCGTCTAAACAGATSAAAAAAAAAGAWAAAAGAGAGTACAAAAATGTGACTTGTCAGTTAACACTTATAACATATCGCATATATTTAAAATATTATAATGGCGAGATGGACTCACTTCCAAGATGACTTTGTGCATGTTCCCGAGATCCTTCAGATACGCCTGCGTGTCCGGATCCGAGTAGTAAGTGTGCACCACGGCGACACAAGCGTGACACGCTTGGGCCATGACGGCGCCGGACGGCCACTTCAGGGTCCTGGTCAGGTCACCTCGCACCAACACGTACTGCACCACGTTATTCATAGTCGACGACCTTAAATCAAAAAAATATATTCAAATCATCGATCGAACGAATCAGTAGGAACACACCATCTCCCAAAGCCGTAACTGAGAAAAAAGTCGATGGGGGAGTCCAAAATTTTTTTAAATATAGATACTGCAGAACAGTTGTCACCGCCTAATCGCTAAAATGCTTCTACTTTTAAACATTTCTGAGGGCGGTGGTCCGGAACCTTGGACTCTCAGAGTCAGAGTTTGATTCGCCAAATTTATGGCCCAGGACAAAATAAAAAATTGGACCATACATTATATATACCTACATAATATGTAATATAATATTACATGGTCAGTGTTAGTCACCGTTGGGCCCCTTGCAGGCCACGTGGGCCCAGGACAAACGTCTATTTTTTTCGTGCGTAAATATGGCCCTGCCCCCAGTTACGGCCTTTTGCTAGCTGCAAGGCACAAGGCATGATATAGTGAGACGTTTTCTGGAATATTCTCATCCGACGATTTAAAAAAAAAAAAAAAAACGATACTTTTTAATTTATTAAGCAGTGCTGCTAACTTTCAATAAGAGAATTAAAACATTTTTTAAGAATAGAAACGATTCAGCAGGAGTGAACAGAAGGATCCCAAAGCTTAAAAATAATGAAATTGTTGAAGATAAATTTGTTTTATAGGTTGATTGTGTTCTAAAATGTTGANGGATTTATCTTGTCGAATTTTACCTTCTCCTCGCGATAACGACCCCGATGTAGAGTCACAGAGGGCGACTCAGATGTTTTTAAATACAACAATAACAACAATAATAATTGTTGATTCGCATACACGCATGCTTGGCGAGGGAATCAGCTTTATTATAATCTATTAAATATAAATACAATTTAATGTGTTTTAAACAAACAATTAATAATCGTCGTAGGTACAATGTATGTAATTATTAAAGTTTAGGTACATAATATAATACGTTCGAGACGTAATAATTATATAACGAGCTTTATGATCGTTCCAATATATAATAATATATATTTTACAATAATATACGCGATGTGTTGTGCGACGTGCGTGCTCGGTCAATCKAACGAGTTTCGGCGTCTGTACACGGCCACGGCCCGCAGGCGTATGTCTTCGAAGCACAGCCCGATGTCCATTTTCAGGTTCCTCACCCGGACCTGGACGTCTTCGCGCATCAAGTCGAAGCACATGGCTATGATGCCCATGCCCAGCAGCAGGTACACGAACTTGATGACCAGCTTCATCGGGTGGTCGGCCACCGCATCCGTGATGCTGTTCACCGGCACGAAGTTCTCGATGCCGATCTTGCACAGGCTGGTAACGCAGAAAAACGTGCTGTCCAGGTACGACCAGTCTTCGAGCGTGACGAACGTCACCGTGCCGGCGGCCACGTAYGCCGCCAGCACCCACAGGCAAGCGGTGGACGGCACGATCACCCTCGATTTCGGGGGTAGCTGCTGGTTGTACAGGTCACCGCCGGCTTTGTCCTCCATGCTGCACTGGTACACCCACGTGTATAGCCACCGGAAGCTCTGGGCCAACACCTGTAGCGAAGATCGTCGATATAAATGGCAAAGAAATAAAACAGTTTGTATTATAATACCGCGTCAATACGTATAATGTAATAATATAATATCATGTACAGAGGTGTCCCGATTGACGGTTCGATTTCTAAAAAACGTCTAAAAATAGTATCTCATTTTAGACTCCGAGCGGGGCGAGGAATTAATGTATTGGTTTTACAATGATGTTATTATTTCTTTTTCTTTTTTATTCTGCACACACACTTTTTCTCCCACTAAACTTGCTCAAAAGTATTAAGTGTTGCATTTATTCTGAAAGGTGATGTTCTTGACCTGGTACTTTAGAAATGTCATTTTTCGATTTTCGAAACGGTACTCGAAATAAAAGCGGTTAAAGGAGAAAAAACGTACGATTTCACGATTTTATAATATTAGACCTTAAATCTTAATGAAAATATGATAAAAATATGACTCACGTAAGTCAAAAGGTGCCGGCCCCTGTCTTATATCACCCGTATCAACGCCCATTCTAAGTACACTTTGTGTTTCCCAAAATTTTCTTTCCCTGAGACAAATTCTAAATATTTGAATCCAGGAATTTTTTTTAAATTAATTTGTTTAAATTGTATCGTGCAGAAAATCATTTACGAGTAACTGTATATTTTTATAATCAAATAAAATATATTTGCTACCTTATATATAAATCCACACATAACTCGTGATTTATTCAAGACATAATTATTCGATATGGTTGTACCTATAATAATATTGGTGTTTGTAGTTTTGCATTAAATTACCAATCAGCGTTTTGAAAACTCGTAGTTTATGATAGCGCTTATGACTCGACTGACGAGGACTTTCGTCGAATACGATAAAAGCGTCAACGATAATTTACAATGTTTGAAAACCTTCCCACTATGATGATGATAATAATAATAATAATAATAATAATAACATACACATTATTTCTGAGTATGTTTTATGCGCATATAAAAAACTGAAAATTAGCTGTGTTGGCAATGATGTCAGTTTGCGGATCGTGGCGAACGACTTCAGAACACAACACATACGAACGAGCTAAGCTATACCGCTAATCGTGACGAACAGGAGTTATCTTAGTTGATMTTTTCGATCTTTGACTTAGGCTACAAAAAAATATGTCTGTCGCGTGTGATCAAATAAAAGTGAAAACAAACTGTATAATATTCTTTGTGTGCGATTTTAAGAAATTCGTACGGCAGTTGATTTAATTAGCCGAGTAAAAGAGGTATGTGTATAAAAAATCAACTGACAATAATAATAGTCGCCGCGACATATTAAGTGTAATAGTCCATTATTGATGTTTGTTTTTAGGGTTATTCTACGTTTTATCGTCATAAGAACTCATTTCACACACTAAAAAGAATAATAATAATAAGTTAAAAAAAACCACTGCTTTGTGAACGCATGATGTTGACATTAAACAAGACAGTTACGTTAGCCAAATTTCGATAGACAACATTAACAATTTAGTGTGTGTTAAAATCGGCCGAACTCTTCAAGTGTGGGCTCTACACACATTAGAAAAAAAACAGTGATGGATTTGTGTTTTCTTTTTTGACAGGTTATAACTTTTACGAGCAAGAATTTCGAGAAAAGTAATTTTTATCGCAAAACATATGATTTTTCTTAAAACTAGCGTTTTCGAAAAAACTTTTTTATAAAACGATTACTGAGTCAATAAAACTCGTTCAAAACCAATAAAATCAAACGAAAAATAATAAAAACAAAAATAGGTACTAGTTGCAAAGTCAAACAAAGAACTCTCAACTCTGTAGGCATCAAAATAACATACGAGTTATGTATATTTTATTTCTAAACAACCAATATGCATATTATAACGAGATAATTATTGATTTAATCCGGAATGTTTGTGCCTCCGTTTCAATTCAAACACATTTCCATTTTCACCAACCTATAAAACTGAGGATAAGTACGCAATATATCAGCATAGTTTTTAAACCATAATATATATTGCTGGGGATTTTTCTAGTTCAAGCAGTTTAGGCACGTATCAAAAAAGAAAAAAAACATTATAAAAGAATCCCTGAAAATATTTCAAACTGTAAAACCACCCCAAACGATGCTCTTATGTCTTATCATATTTTAGCAAAGATGTGATTTTTTCAATAAGACACGCTCAGTCCCCTTTCTCACTCTCTCTCGACCTCCTCCCACGTAAACTATACGGCAATACTTATTCACACACGCCAGTCATGGTACACTCGTGGTCATTTTTTTCAGGAACTATACAACACGCGCTTTGAGTACGCAAAAACAAAGAAAACCAAACAAAATCAAAAGGCGAACAGCTGACCCAATTTTTCGACGACCGTCGACCTTTGTACACAATTTGTATACACAGATAATTCATGGGGTGAAAATTATCGCATAAAAATGTCACTATAAATGCCTTTGCATCATGCTAAATCTTATACGTATAGAACATTATTGCGTTGCCATTTTAATCTAATATTTTGTTGGAAACATTTTTGATACGGACGCGTCTTTACAAGCGTACCTACACCGACTACCATTGTACCTACATAATATTATGCGCAACACTCATTAACCAATAACCTATAGATTTTTAACCAGCCCGACGACGACACGCCCGGCGATTAAGATGGTTCCCAAAACAGTTCTAGTTACAAGGGGGGTGAGGCGATGACACAGAAATACCACCAGCTCTATTATGTTAATAATAATGATAATAATAAAATACAAACGACTACGCACCTTTCCCATGTTCCGGAAGTAGAGCACGTACAGGGGTATGCCGAACACGGCGTACACGACGGTGGCGGCCTTGCCCAGCATCGTCTTGGGCACTACGTTGCCGTAACCATTCATGGTGAATATGGACAGGGAGAACATGAGCGCGGCGGAGAACGACCACGTCTCTTCGGTGGTCCGGCCGTCGTAACCCTTTTTGACGATGAGCGCCAGGTTCACCTGGAAGTGCGTGAGCGCGTCCGTCACCTGCCGGGTCCAGTTGTCCCGGTACAGCACGTTGTACGTGTTTGTGGCGTTCCACACGTTCACCGAACAGTTGTGCCGGAGCAGCTCGACCGCGTGGTGCTGCGCGTCGCCCGCTTGGCCCTCGATCTGTATGAAGCAGAACGCGCCCACCACCGCGTAGCCGACCACCAGGCCACCGACGCCCACTTGCGTGCACATGAACGCGACCAGCTTCCGGCAGCACTCCTTCAGCCGCTCCTTGGGGTTGTCGGCGCCGGCCGCGTTGTACGCCGCCGACGACGAACCAGTGCTGCTCTTGTCGCCCACCGGCACCATTGCGCGCCGCCGACTGATCGCCGTACGCCGACTACCGCCGCTATGCTTCCTCCACACCGACGCCGCCACTATAATGGTATAGTACTTCCATACCACCGCCGCCGATCGTTCGGTCGTGTGCCAAGCACCGACGTGCGTGTAAAATTGTACAGAAATA